CTAACAACACTAATGATTATTAGGCGACGTCCCTTGTGGCACTGCTGCGTGTCGAGGCCAGTATGAGGAACAACTTGAAGAGTCTTCATGCTGATCTGATGAAAGCTGGTGTGGACATGTTTTGTATCTTACCATGATAACCTCGGGATATCTTAGGATCTGTATGTCCTCTAGTCGAACTTGATTTCCGACCTGGTCGAAGACTTTATATTCCAATTCGATCGGCAATAACATTCACACAACATGGGAACAACTCCCAGGATTATGCGTATCCCTCTTCGCCTAAGTATTCACGTAAGAATCGTCGGTGGAGCGTAAGGATTGGGAAATTCAAACGAACTTCAGCTCGTCGATTCTACAACAAAGCTCAGTCAGTGGGGTTCCTCCCAGAAGAGTACACACCACCTGCTGATGTGAGTGGTGATAGCCAAATCGATCACGTGATCGATTTTGATCTCAGTCTACATTGCGGTTCCCTCCTGTACAATCTACCGCGAAACAAGACATTCCATATCCGACTGTATCAGATCGAACATTACTATCAAGTGAGATAATTGACTATCACCAACATGTGGTGAGAGCCGGTCTTAGGCACGGCGCAAAGTGGATCGAGAAGAAGAATTGATAGTAGAGAAAGAAGAACCAATCAAAGGAGTACAGGGGCGCTACGTGAGGGCGTACGACCGCAGACTAGCGCTACTGTCATGAGAAGAAGTAATTCCACTCGATGATGATGACGACGATAATGATGGTATTTTGGGATTAGTTACGAGCCCAGAAAAAGCAAGTCGGAGAGAAAAAGGTGAAAACAGAGAGATCCCGAAGATGACTCCTGCGAGTACCGGATTGCAGAATAGAGATACGTGCTCATCTGTGCATTTACCCGCGGGTGAACTAAGTTGTTTGGAAGATATGGTCATTTGGGAACTTTTAGAAATACATTCTTCGTGGTGTCGAACGACGGGACCAGGCGTGTTGAAGACGCCCTATGCAGGGAGGAAAGTGGGTATAAGCCAGTTTGTATTTTATGGAGGAACTCTTTGCAGTGCGATGATGTGAGAAATGGAAGATCGACTGCGGGGAGCAGTCGATTGGCTACTGCTGCATCTAGGTGGATATTGGCCGACCATAGTAATTTCATTCAAACCGGAATGAACTGTAACTCTATGACCACACGTACTGTAATCAATATGAAAGTTGTAGCTCAGCAGTAGATAAGAGACGCCATTTGATGATTTGCTATTATGGGGGGCATCCAGGTTGAAATCGGGGTAGGAGAATATGCACATGGCCGACTACGTGTGTTGGTAACGATATGGAAATTCTGAGGGAATTCTGGGAAATTATTGTTGGTTTTCGTACACTTCGGCCCGAATTCGTATGTTGAATTTTATGATTGATGAGGAAACTCCTGAGAAATTCCGGTCGCTTCGGGTGTTTACAGAGTTTTGAGACTTTCTTGTGATTCTGACTCTTCATAAAACGATAATTTTCCCAGGAGGCGACTAGAAAGGCCGCGAACGATGGGAAGAAGCCGACCTGGAAGTAGCTGCCCCGGTGAGAATTATTCGAGCTATGTGTCTCGCAGTTTGAAGTTTTCTCAGGTCAAGGCTTACTGAGGAGCTATGAACTGAATGCGATTCCACTCGCAGCTCAGATGGCACGTCCGATGGTTTGGCGTCGCATTATAACGAGACAGATGTCGAACTTGGGCATGAACCTCTCCGCGACGGGGATTTGATGAGAGCACGATGGGTCCTTTTGGACGATATGGTCGTTGCCAAGTAATTCATGATTGCTATTCGTTGTCCGGTTTGACCATTTTGTTATGATGTTCACATGCTTAACTGTGCGAGCTTAGTAGAATTTGGTTCGTCAATTTGAAGTGGATGGGATCATCTGATGATATTTCCCATTAGTTGTCACATATTCAAAACCAGTGTTACTGCAAGTGAGCATCCATAGTGAAATACACCCTCGCAAGAGAAACATGGACTTCTGAGTCATGAATTATTTCTCCCAATGTATGGGATGTTAACAGAATAATGATCATGATGACAGACTAATACTGCAGTATTGTATAACTCACTGCAGTTGTTGTTGTTGTAGTAGCAAAGCCTCTTCTGAAATCTTTTCTCGTCAGCTATTACTTTGATAACACTATGTTTCAAATCTTCCGCACATCATTCGTCCAGTTTGTTTGCATAGTACTGGTCACAGTACTATTGTGACGTTCACTAAACGGTATGATAGGAAGCTGCGTTGAAGGTGAGGTACACGAGGGGCAACTATTAAACGGTTTGTGGAATAATGGGTAAGAGAGTCTCATCCACCTCATCATACTCCACAAATAATACAGTAGACAATTATTAAGAATCGGATTACACACCGACCGCTGATGGTAGAAAAATGACATATTTTCAATGAGTGATGTCCATTCGAAAGGGATCTCATACCTTCACGCTGGAGACTTCGCCAAAGTCACAAATATGCCCTTCACTTTTGTTTCAACCGTATCCTCTTTACCATTGTAGAAAAAGCGCTCGAGGTCAAGATCAAACAGCAATCCCGGATACTTCCTTGCTGCTACTGTTAAGAATGCATAGTAGAGCGCCATACTGGATATGTTATATTCATTGTTACCAGAGTCAAGGTCTAGGGGCGCTGTCTGAAATCCGAGCGGAGTCTGTGTACATGTGATTCGCAGGGTGACCAAGCCAATCGCCATTGGTGAACAACCAACACTGCCATTGGCATTAGATGATGAGTTAGTCCCCAGTAGATGTTTACAACTCGAAGTCCAATCACATCCTAATGGTACCATAAGAAGAGGTCCCAAAAGTCCCCCTCACTACGAGGTCCTTCTGCTCTACCAACATCGATCAACTCACGTACTTCACGTGAAACGCTACGAATGAACAGGATTCCGCACAAGCTTGTGCGGCCTAGACTTCCCACGCGCCGTTCACGAGTAGATCAACTATAGGGTGAAAAGAAGTTAAGACAGATAAGATCACCGTTGGAGGCGACTGCCCAGATCGTCGTAGTGGTACCTCGTACGTGTGAGCTTTAACGCAGCCCTAACCTTGGAAAAGGGCAACATTCCAGAAAAAAAAACATACTGTGAAAACCCGCGGCCGCCCATATATGATGTTGGTGATTTCTGTCATGGTCGGCTGATTCTGAAGGGTTAATAAGGGTTATGTGTTAACATGGATGTTATCTGATTCGGCTCTACGCAGGAAAATATGCACATGGTCGACCACAGGTTGATGATATGAAAATTCTGGGAGGAAATTTCTTGGGAATTTTCCATTAGTTCTTGTACACGTGTACCCGAATTCGTATGGAAACCTCTTTAAAAAGCGAGAAACTGCTGAGGTGAGCTGAGGAATGCGAATATATATCCCTCCAATACTGATTTTACTCGAGTCTCATCCTTTACACGGCTTAATCTTAGTCGCAACCGTTACGGGAAGAGACTATATGATGTGCGCTGTTATGCGTCATTGCTGTTGAGTATTTGTTGTTGATTTAGATGGAGTTTTTGAGAGCAGTCGTGGCGTCGTTGCGAAGTCAAATTGCTGTGCTTGAAGATGCTCTTGCTGAGGCTAGGAGGAAGGAGATGGGGTAGGTTGGAGATGGGATGGATTTGGAAATGAAGTGGTAGGGATATAAAGGGAAGATTTGAAATTGAAGATGACGAGGAGGCTGATGATGGCAGTGGTAGAGGGGTCCAAACTTGCATCTCGGGTGAGGAGAGGGAGGTCCCGGGTTCGATCCCTAGTAGCGGGATTTTTCAAGTGGAAGAAACGAGTAGTGCTTTTGTGAGAAGTGAGCAGACAAGAAGCCCTTCCATGACATTCTTGGAAGAAATACTCATTAACGAGAGAGTGTTCTTCGAACTTCTAACGAGGTTTCGGGATTCCCCACACCGTTCAGAGATCTACTTCCCGAATGGGGCCGATATGCCAGAGGACTATACCATTCAGAAATCTATTTTCCGAATGGGGCCGATATGCCAGAGGACCATACCATTCAGAAATCTATTTACCGAGTGGGGCCGCTATGCTAGAGGACTATACCATTCATAAACCTTTGTCAATGTATCACCATGTGGGTACTTCATGAACAGTTTTGGTGTAGTTCGGTTCTCACGGTAGTTGATAGTTGTATGGTCAGGTGTACCCCGAGGTTATGAGTGAGTATATTCAAAGTCGAATCGATAGAGAAGTACAACTAGCAGTGGCTCGAGCATTAAAAGTGAGGAGGAGGAACTAACCCCATTGTG